GAAAATGGGGAAAATTTGTACAACTAGTTGCACAGTTGAAATATTCCACAAAATTGTATTGTTGGATTTTTCATTGGGTCTTCATACGATTTTCATAATTAATATTAATTTAAAAAATGATATCCCAATGAAATTTTCACACGATTTTACATATCAAGAAACAAAATATTTTATCGTATGAATTTAATAATATTCAGCAAGACGCATCTGTTATATAGTCCATTTTTTAAATAAACAAATATGCATACTTTCATGTAAAAGCGACATATTAAACAAAAAAAAATTATAAATAAAAGTGCGACATTTCACTGTACATGACTTTCTATTTTAAGTATACGAATCGACCGTCTATTTTGACTCACACATGGATTTATTTTGCAGTATTCTTAAGTGTATGAGAAGTTTCGTGCATCTCACCTGAGGTTGGTGGTACTCGGTATAAAAGGTACTATCTGATTAAATCCTGGCCGTTGATCAGCACCCCTCGTTTGCATCGACCATTCTTCTGGCATAAATATCACATATCATTAAATTTTTAATTAGGACTAATCATAAATAAATCGTATAATAATTATAACCTACAAATTCTACTACAAAAAATAGGCCCCCATTTATATATATATTAACTATTAAAAAAAAACCAAATTTTCAACAAAATTAGGCCCCTCCCTATGGTCCATGTGGCATACATGAAATTCACGTAATAAATTCCCGAAAAATTCCAACGCCTTTCACAACCACACATTTGATTTTTTCCTTTTTAAAAATTTGAATTTTCAGTCATAAAATAAAACCAATGGCCTATTCGGATAATGTTAAGGACCACCAATAATTATACGGGCAAATAGTCATAAATTTAAGGCCATTTTGACTATGTTGTATTGATTTTTTTGCACTGAGTTACAATTTTTGGTTATTAGATTGTATGAGACTTTTAAACTTAATTAAAAAAAAAATACAAATACTATATGAAAATTGCAAATATATAAATCTATTTTTCAATTGTCCACCGTCTATCTAAATTACTATTTTTGAACAAATTTTTATGTGTAGGATAATTTTTCGCCAAAAACGTATACTTATACTATAAAAATATCATATTTTCTTATTCCGCGCGAAAAATATCATATTTTTTAGTGTATAATATAATATTATTTCGGTTTGTTAGTATCCACATATGTTTAAATTTTTTTGTTCTCCAACCGTTAGGTCAACATTTTTCTTTAATACTTCGAAATAAATATTATGACAGACTAAAAAATAGCCTTTTTTTTCATATAAGGCGGCCTTAAAGGGGTATATTTGCAAATTTTTCTCAAAAATAATTAAATGAATACGTACATATAATTAAGTACGAATATACTTATTTTTTTTTTCTTTTTTTTTAATTGCATTTGAATTGAAAAATATATTTCATGTCTACACATCGAACATGGTATTTGTTATAGATTCTCCTAAAAATTTCTAAAATTTTCAAATCGTGGCAATAATATTAAAGAAGAAAAAAGGAATTAAAATAAAAAAAGAGTTAATGAATTGGCATCACAAATTAAATTCTTATGAGACATATATTAATTATTATACATAAAAAATAGATTTAAAAAAAAAAAAAAAATGAGGATTACCTGATAATTCTTCAGGTACCACAACGTATAGTCCATCATCAGAGCAACTCTTCCTTCTTCTTTGAACCACTACTAAAATTCAATATTTATAAAAATAAATTAATATTATATATATATATATATATATAAGTTTTTTTTATGATTAAAAATAAAGGAAAAAAATTAAAAAAAAAAAGTACCATGATTCTTATAATCTGAGTGAAATTCATCTCTACCGGTTTTCATGTTCAACCATTTTCTGACCACTGCCGTTGGCCACGACGACTGCCGGAAAATAAATAAATTAATTAAATTAATGAATAAATAAATGAGATATTCAAAATCAAAATAACAAACTTCTTTGATTTAATTAACACCCCCACAAAAAAAATAAAAAATAAAAAAATAAAATTCGACCCACCTTCGGATATCTCCGTTCTGCTCTCATTGCCGCCACCGACTACTCAATATTTGCATAAATACTTCAAATATTTTTTTTTTCGACACAAAAAGAGAAAAAAAAAAAACTTTAATTTTATATTTTCGAAAAGAAAAATAAGAAAATTTTGGGCGTGTCTGAAGAGCTTGAGCTTCTGTACAATATAGACTATAGTAGTACCAAATGGCATTTGATAAAAATAAGATTCTACTTGTGTTTGTGTAATTAATGTTTAAAAATATGTCAACTGTGATTGGTCGGGACTCGGAATAAATAAATAAATAAATAAATAAATAAATAAATAAATAAATAAATGTGAATTTATTCAATGAATTAAAATATAATATAACCAAGTTGCAGGAAGATTTTGAAACAGGGGCAGCAACAACAAGGATCGTAGACAACAAGAAACAGAGGAGAAAATGTGACCTTTGTTTAAGTTACATGCAAATAAATAATATAAATTTGTATAATACAAACATTATAAAAAGGGTAAATGTGGAAATTTGATGTCGTATTTTTTTTTTTGTTTTTAAATTTTTGTGTGTTTGAGACTTTACATAGAAGAAATATAGTTAAATAGGGCTCTTAAACGAAATGAGTCACTCATAAGCTCGACTCACCTCACTTGATATACGACTCGGGATTAAGTTTATTTATTTAGCGAGTTGAGCTGAACTTGGTTCGTTAAAGTTTGAAAACAAGGGTTTCGACTCGTTAATATTGATAAAATGCACCCAGTTCGAGCTCATTTATCAGCTTGATGAAGGCTCGAGCCGAGTATTGGCTCTACTTTAAGTGGAACATATATAAGTACATAACGAAGGAGAAAAACAGAGGAAATCAAAAGAAAAAAGAAGGATAATTCTATTTTATGGAGATAAACAACTTCATCATTAAAAAAATTGCACAAGCAAGAAAAGGTTCCTTTTGGGAGCTTAATTAGCTTCAGAAAAGGCTATACATAACTTCTTATAACAGTATAAAATGATAAATATTTATAGATCATATAGAAAGCAGTAATTAAGCTCCAAAGCTCGACTAATTTCGATTCAACAATCGACATAAAAAAACTTACTAACATATTAATGTCGAAATGCGAAAAACGAACTAAGAATTCGTCGGAAAATGGAAAAAAAAAAAGAAAAGAAACAATTGGAAAACAGGAAAAGAAAAATAATGTCCCATATACTTACACAAACAGATGAACATACGAGTTTGAAAAATATTGATATTTACAGTGGTGCCAAAAGGTGTGAAATGACGAATTTGGGGCTTGGAAATGTGAATATTCCTATTCCGGGTTGGTCGGGAAGAGGGCTAAGCCGAAGAGTGCACTCTTTGCCTCGAACCTTTAGTTATACTGTGTATTAACTTAGAAAAGATAACAGATATTTCGGAAAAAAAAAGGGGTTTCTCAGTAGCATCCCGAATCCCGATTTCGCAAAGTAATAAATATTTTTAGAAAAGATTTTATGAAAATTTAACTCTGATTTTAACAAGCTAGCGGGGTGTTACAATAGTCCAAGGGTGCTATAGTAATTTAATGAATTTGGAAGATTGAGTGGATGGATTTTGTTGGTCAAAATAGATAAAATAATTTCCACCGTGTAAGAATTTGGTTTTTTTTTTTCATCAAATTGTTATCTTCTTCTTTAATTTATTTATAGTAGAATTTTGTGCTTTTAATATGTGGTGCAACAACATTTGCTAACTTCATTCATTTTTTTTTCTCTCTTTTTTTTCTTATTACTCTAATTTAATTTATTATTATTATTTTTTTTTTTTTTATTTTGCAGTACAATGCTCATAAATTAGGAATCGACCTTGTTATTGGAGTGGCTTTTGCTATTAATGAGAAAAAGAACTTCTCAAAATGTGACTTTGTGTAAGTAGCACAAAGTACAAACAGTTAGGCGGGTCGATTCGTCACACATTTTTAATAAAAATTCATATTTAATGAAATACATGTTTTTCTTAATTTTTTTTTTTATTTGAAAATATGTATAATTGTTAAAAGAAAATATGAATATCTAACGATTAAGTCAGCCTAATAGCAACCTTAGCGTTAATTTATATATGGGTCAATATAGTTGACTATAGTACATATAATGATGAAAAATGAATATTATTACATTTCTTAAGACTTCCTATTCCATGTTTAACTTTCAATTTTGTTGGAATTCATTTGCTAAATGCTCATTATGCCAACATGTTTTTAAATTGGTTCCTTTCAAACATTATTACATTTTCTTACCCTAACACATATCGTATGTCTCACTACAAGAAAACATTTCAATTCCAATGACAAAAATTTTCGTTGGAAATTCTAATGAATATTCCAACAAACTTAATTTTATGTTGGATAGTTTAGGAATTCCAACTGATTTTTTCCGTTGAAATAGTTGTAGGAATTTACTTTCATAGGATTTTCCATTGAATTTTAGCTATTCCAACGGCTGTTTTTCTCACGGATTTTTATACGTAGGAATATCCGTTGGAATAGTTATTCCAATAAAAAATTCCGTTGGAATGTAAGAGTTTTTTTGTAGTGCCTTGTATTAGGCTGACCTAATCATTTACCCGACATATAATTTTCACAAATATATGTGTATTTTAATTATAAATGTCATACTTTAGAAATATATATCTTAAACAAAAGCATGACAAATGTCATCTTGATATTAATTAGTATATATTTTTGTTTTTAGGATATAACGGATGACTCGTCTAACAATTAAACTGTCCCACAAAAGAACGTGTAAGATACATATACAAAAAGAATAGGAAAGGGCATATAAAGCAATTATGGAGGTATGGTGAAAGTGCTAATAACCAAAGAGGACACATATATACTCAAAATGTCATAGCTAGCGCAAAACGACTAGTGATTAGGCTCGAGAATATGAGTTATTAGTAATTGTATTATGAGTTTTTATCTTAGTTCGACTTGTCAAAACTCGAATTCGACTCATTAATATTGATAAAATAGTAATTTGTAAAATAGTAATTTGCACATTGCATGCCTGGATTAGTTAGACCGGTATTATATTGGTAAGTACGGAATGTGTCCTACCATAAATGCTAAACTAACTACATAATGCAATTTATAATTAATTTGTGACTCCATATTTTTCCATCTCAAATTTTACTTCCAAATTATTGAAAAAAACAATTAAAGCTAAGCTACAATTATACAAAATATAGTTTGACCCATTTACTTTCTGCACCAAGTTGTAAAGTATGCAATTTAATTGTGCTCCAAATAATTGAACTGTGACCTGTCTGCCATCATACATACCTCAAGCATCTGAGTTTTTTTTTTTTTTCTTATATTTATGAATTTCAAAGGATACAGTTAATTAGCCGAACTTGTTCGCGAACAACTCTTTCAAACTTCTTAGGTCTACAAAATGAACCAAACAGAGCTGAGTCGAGCTTCCACGAGCTTAAACAAATTGAGCCTGATCAGGAGTTACTCGACTCAACTCAGCTCGAATAACATTCCTAATGACCACTTTACTAATTTTAGTGTGTTAGCATTATTTACCTAACTAATCACCATAATTAAAAAAGAAAGGTCACTTACAAATATTAGCTAATGATGATTAATTAAAACTAGTGCAACACCCGTGTATTACACGGGTGCTTGTTAAAAAATTATTCTTAAATTTTAAAAATAATGAGAAAACTATATTAAATTTAGTTTACTTTTTTACAAAAAAAAATATATTACTATATATTTTAGAATGATATTTGTTACTTATGACTTACATGTGTTATATTATATTAGTTTTTATAACTTATATCATATAACTACTTGAAATATAATTATATTAATTGATAAATAATTTTATTTTTCTAACTAATATTAAAAATAATTTTATTATTGTTATAAAGATAAATATAAATTTTTATTTTTATACATACAATATGAATGTTAAATCAAAGCTCATCAAAAGAAGATTAATTTGATATATTGCATATGTAAAACTGATAAAAGATACAAAAGTTATTAACTTTTAAAATATATATACAATTCAATAATTATAATAAGGAATGATATTAAAATGAAATTAATACATGTAACATGACCATAAATAATCAAAATATTTATGGTAATCCGAACGTAATTATTTTTTGTTTGGAAATTAAATTAAAATTTATCCAAGCCTAATAATGAAGCGTGTAATTTTGCCACATAAGATTCCGAAGTACCAGAAGCAACCATGCAAACTCAACGCGTTCTGAATTAATATAAGGGGTTAGACACATTGGATCATCTACACACACATGCATGTGATTTGGCGGCCGGTGGATAGTGAAAATAATCAGTATGTGCATATAAATAAATGATTATATTTACGTGTTAGAGTTTTTCTGACAATTTATTAATTTTTGACCACTATTAGACAACTTGTCAATATAATTATAAATTGACCCCTTCTAAATGTTGACATCATGATTTCGACACTAACTATTATGAAATTGACAATTGACACCATATAAATTCATATTTTGATGTTGATTTGGAGTTAGTTAAGATTCCCTTAACTATTATGACAATATATAGGTGTTATTTATTTTTGGAATTTTTTCGTCATATATATATTGACAACGTCAACATGCGTTAACATTTGTATATTTTTCCCCCCCACGAGATTGGGGGCTTGGCTCCAACACGACCTTATTGGGGTTTCCTATTCCCGTCGAGTTCTAGCTTAATCGCTTTCATTTAGGCCCATGGCCTCCTTCTTTGTACTGAAAAAAAAAAAAAAAAAAACATTTGTATATTTTTTTTTTCACATTATTAATGATAAATAAATTGTATATAAATCCTATATATGATACCATACTACCATAGCAATCGTGTCGTCACGGTACAAAGATATCACATTACTACTATTGATGACCAGTGTTAAAATTTGTTTACAACTCTAATTAAGTACTTAAAAAAATAATTAAGAAATTGACATTATTAATTAAGAATTTTTAACATGGATTAATGT